ATCAATGGTTGGAAAAACGAGATAGAGAGTAAAAGCTTAATTTTTATACCTAAGCAAAAATTAACCCAGACAACACGTTGTTCATTATGCACAAATAAATTGCAATGATAGAAAATTAATAAAATAGTTTTTTAAAAAAGATGGCATTCTGGATTCCAGGCTCTTCCTCCACTTTGGCCACAGTGTTGGTGTTCTGTCCCAACCATGGTCAACAAGTCCCTGATTTGTGGATTCTCCTCTTTTCAGGCCCCCAAAGCAAGCATCAGTTGCTTTCCCTTCGGTGGGCACATCTTTTGAGGACTAGTGGAAAAAAATATAATAGTTTTATAGTTTTTCCTGTCACTTGGGTTAGGGGGAAGCTTGGAAGGGAGAGAGGGAGGGAGGGAGGGCCTCCATATCATCATCCCATTAATAAAACAGAACAACAACAAAAACCTTAGTTATTCATGGCCAGTAGTCGTCTTCAAAATAGCCACTGAAGACAGAGATGGGGATTGGGTGAGAATGCCTTCCAGAATCCTCCCCAGCCAATTGGAAGAGAGGCATTTGTGTAGAACAGAATGAAGTGCAGGAGAGGGATCTGATTGCCTTGCTTGTGTCACCTGAGAGGGAAAAATACAACTTTTGATACAAAACCAAAAGATACTCAGGTCGACATTGCCATTCCAGCAACCTGCAAAATAGTAGGTGGCTCATTTTCATATTGGAATAAGCAGAATTATGGATCAGTCGGCCTCCATGGACCGATCCTGGAAAAATATACATGCATAGATGCATGGATACATCATTTCATTATCCAAGGTTTTGAAACCACATAGCTCACTGCTGCAAAGCCGTCATGTAGACATTTGGGTTATTATGTGAAGACCCAGCTCCTTTGGAAAAGCCATAATGCTGAGAAAAGTGGAAGGAAAGAGAAGGGAACTAGCAGCAAGTTGGATGGACTTAGTTACAGTGATGATGGATATATTGTTGAAAGACTTGAAGGGACTGGAGGCTGGAGGCAGGTCATCTTGGAAAAGATCTATGAGGTTACATTAACATTGACTTGATAGTGCATGATTAATCAATTAATCAAAATATATTCTGTACACATATATGTACTGAATACATTAGTGGTTCTTAATTTTGCATCTATAATATCTTACCAAACTACTTGGTTTCCATCATGAATGGAATTTCTTCCTCAAGAAAGACATTATGAATTGATAAATTTAATAATTATAATTTACGGTAAGCTTTCATATTTAAAGTTTAAATTGCGTACTGTGTTTCCCACCTATATTACTTGTGAGGTCTGTTGTATACACAACACCTGTTGAGAACTACTGTGCTAGACCACGTGAATCAAAATATTTGCTTTTTTCTTACCTAACATTTCTGACAGCTTTTTTATCTACTAACTATTAAAAGGAAAAAGGAACCATGTCATTTTCTATATGAATTGGCGGATTCAAATACAGATACAAATGCCATATTGTTTAAATTTATATTAAGAAAACATATCAGTCAATCCAGAAGTAACGCTGTGATCATTTGGGATCTTGGTACAGATAAATGGGCACAAGAATGCAAACTTAAAAACGATCTTCTATGTATGTATTCTGGAGTCAGGCCCACTGAACTTCATGATACTTGCTTCTAAATAAACATGGATAAAACCATATGGTCCAAGTGTTTTTTTATTGTCTGGAAATACCAGACTGACGTGTGTGATAAAGAAATGGAATTCCACTCTGAATTTATATTATTCATTACCGTAATTACAGGTAATCCTCAACATATGACTACACTTGAAGCCAAAATTTCCATTGCTAAACAAGACAATTGAGTTTTGCCCCCTTTTATGACCTTTCTTGCCACAGTTGTTAAGTGAATCACTGAGTTGTTAAGCTAGTAACATGGTTGTTAAGTGAATCTGGCTTCCCCATTGACTTTGCTTATTAGAAGGTTATAAAAGGGGATCACATGACCCTGGGACACAGCAACCCTCATAAATACAAGCCAGTTGCCAAATGTTCACATTTTGATCATAGGGCCTTGAGCAGGGATAGGCAACCTTGGCTCTTTTATTATCGTGGATTTCAACTCCTAGAATTCCTGAGCCAGCTATGCTGGCTCAGGAATTCTGGGAGTTGAAGTTCACAAGTCATAAAAGAGCCAAGGTTGCCTACCCCTGGCCTTGAGGATAATGCAATGGTCGTAAGTGTGAAAAACGATCAGTTGCTTTCTTCAGTGCCATTGTAACTTCAAACGGTCACTAAATGAATGGCTAAGTCAAGGACTGCCTGTAATGCAAACTTTTGGAAATTTTACTTATCAGCTGAAACTAGTGTTTGATTCACAATTCAAATTATACTCTCTTGAATCTTAAGCACCCTGGAGAAAATGTCTTCACTGATCATACTAAATAATCTCTTTCCATGATTATTTTTTATTTGTCCTATGAAGCATGAAATCTTTAAAACATTGGTAAGATGTCAGTGCCACGAAATCCCTGTTGCTTTCCTGTTTTTTATTAAAAGTCTATGACTAAATTAAATAATAAAATATAATGAAAATCTTTCAGATTCATTACCTTCATTTTGAGTTAGGAATTTGTAAAACTGTAAAAAAATATCTGTTGCACACTATTAGATCCCACCTCAAGTGAAACTAGTTCATATATGAAGATCTTTTAAAAATTAACATACCTTCAGTTTCTTGAGAAATGCACAGTAGATATACACAGATGAGCTTTTATTTTTCTTCCATTTATTTGTGTCCAATTCTCGGAGACTGCCTGGACAAGTCCCTGTAGTTCTCTTGGAAAGGTTTTTCAGACATGGTGGGCCACTGCCTCCTTCCTAGGGCTGAGAGAGAGGGACTAGCCCAAAGTCACCCAGCTGGCTTTGTGCTTAAGGCAGGACTAGAACCAAACTGGGTCTCCCCGATGAACTGAAGGTAAAGATTTCCTGTCCAATCATGTCAGGTTCTAGAGTGTGGTCCTTTTCTCCGTTTCTTTCCCGAGGGAGCCAGCAATGTCCAAAGACACTTTCCGTGATCATGTGGCCAGCTTGGCTGTATATCAAAGACACATAGAACGCTGCTACCTTCACACCAAAGTAGTACCTATTAATGTACTTGCATTTGCAAGCTTTTGAACTACTAGTTGGGCAGGAGCTGGGCAGGAATGGGAGCTCACCCCATTGTGTAGCACTTAGGTCTCGAACTTGGGCTGTCAGCTCTCCGGTTGACAAGGTCAGCATTTTTAACCCGAACCATTCCCCCTCCAATGAACTAGGGATTATTACAAAATCTCCAAAGCAAAAGAGCAAAACAGAAAGCAGGTATCACCTCATTTGTAGAAAAGAAATCAAGTCTAGTTGAAAACTCCCACTGTGTAGGTGAATTCATGTAATATGCACACTTGCCTGCAAGAGCCTTTTGTAACCCACAGATCTCCAGATGGGATGCAACATGGACTCCCCCACTTTCCAGTCACAGAACTGTTGTCCCCCTTGGCTGGGATATCATTTGGGGAAGGAGCGTCTGGATCACCATCATGTGATCACAAAGACACTGTGACAGCAGAACTCTGAGGACCCGTTGTAAGCACCACTTGTCTGCAAGTTCGAACAGTTGCTGAGAATGGTTCTTAGCTGAGGACAGACCCAAGGTCCCCCAACTTCTGGTCCTGCAGTTTTAACTATTATGCCAAACTGGCTCTCAGATTTTAGGATGCTCTAATTCGTTCATTAAATGACACACAAAAAAACCCATGCCCATTTCAGAATACAAATGTCTTTTTATTGGTTGCTAAAGTCTGCTTAGGGAAAACAACATGCCATTTTTTAAATGTAGACTTTTATATCCAATAATGTTAATTTTGTTTCTTAAAAATGTATGTACAGAAACAGTTGATAAGTGCTTTAAAGAGTTACAGGAGATGCATTTAGATGACTTCCATCACTATCTGAATTGAAGAGAAATTAAGTAAGGCTTTCTTCAGAAAGCTCTCACATTTTGTCCATTTTTTATTTACTGATTGTTTAAAGACCTCTATGTACATCATAACCAATTCTATATATGCTTCCAGATTTTTAGGATAACTCTCTTATCATAATTATTTATTCTAAGCCTTTTGAAATTCAGCAATGTCTACTTATTATAGCATATTTACGATATCCTACCTTATTCATAATTAAGTTTACAGAGTTTTATTTTTTTTCTGGAGCCATAAAGATCTCAGATTGATCTAAAAATACCCTCACTTTCATACTCTAATCCCTTTATCAAACTCTGACACCAGAAACATAAAAAATTTAGCTATTATTTGGACAACCAAAAATAAGTTATCTGAATTATACAATTTATATGTTTATTTATATTTAGGTCCTGTCTTTCTTCTAGGAACTCAGCACAGTAAATACAGTACTCTTTCCTCTATTTTTATCCCTACAACTCTTGAGGTAGGCTGAATGGAGAGATGGTGAGCAGTCCAAAATCATTCAGTAAGTTTTCATAACTGACCGTGGATTTGAACATGATTGAATGCTAACCACAATATTCTGTTACATTTAATTGTTAACATGTGTTTGGGAAATGTTGCATAATGAATGGTTGGGGTTATTTTAACTGTGTTTGACCCATGGTACAATGGCTTACTCAACAATCTATGCTTAATGTTTATTGTTGTTTAACATTGTATGTGAATTCTTCCATGTTTACTATATCATTTATTACTGGGCAACACATATGCTTAGTATGAGCTTACATCATGTCATCTCTATGAAAATATTAATATATCATATCATGAAAAAGTCTTTCACAGATTGCTAAATATAGCTGCAGAATAGTGCAATGAATTCAATGGTATTCAGGAACAAAGGTCTGTCCTGTCGTACAGCCAAATGCACATACACGTCCTAAATTCCTTAAAATATCACATATATCAGTAAATCTGCTATAACAATTTTGTAAAAATGAACGCCTCATAGAAAGATACAACAAAACAAATATTTAGAATCAGAGTGCCATTTATTTGTTGCAAGTTTGGTAACTCCTTATTAAAATATTTCATTTTTTGGTTTTCAAGAACCCTGAAAGGCAAAAGCCTCCGGTGAATCATAGTAATCGTCACGGCAGAAATCCACCTTTAAATCTGGTTCCTACAGTTTCACACCACATTATTTCAACGTTTCAAAGCAATGTTCATCAAAGCAGCAAAAGTCACTTTTTTTTAGAAGTGGTACTCTTTAATATTTTGTGCATCTTTTAATATAATCTCTTCGATATAAAATATTTTCCCCTCTTCCTTTTAATAATTTCCTTTGTCTCCTTCCCCTTCTGCTTCTTCTCCCCCTGCTGCATTCCATTCCTGATAGGAACCTTGTTCCTGTGCAGAGGTTTCTGCTTGTGACATCTGAGATGCTTCTACTGTGGTTGCTGGCCCAACTGATGTTCTCACTGAACCTAAGTCATCCTTATTTTTCCAAACTTTTGTCTGCCAGAAGCTTTTCACAGCAGCCCTGTAATAAAAATGACACCCAAATAATAATAGAGCAAATCTCACCAGAGATTAGATACTTTAGATAAGCTGTTATTAACAAAATTAGCGAAAGGGATCCCTCCCTATATTGTAGGTAGATTTCTTATAATTCTTTTAGCTTACTACTATCATACTGAATAGCCAAATCTTATTTTTCCACTCTTCAGAAATCATCTAGCCACGATTGTTAAAAACTGACAGCAGTTTCTGCTATTTTGAGATTGAGAACAATGAAAATGTATGTTCTAAAATTTGGCAGAGGGGTGGAGGTGACCCAATCATGGTCATGTATATGTTACCTAATTTATTTTATAATCTTCAGTCCCCCCCCCCCGCCCAAATGTTAAGCATAGCCTTTGGCAAAAGAAAGCATTTTACATAACCTCTCTCAATTCTAACTGGAGATGATAGGGAGTTAATCTGAGGCATATGCCATTCAAAAGCGTGCTCAGCTACTGAGCCAAGGATTTTCCTATTTAACTAAGAGAAATCCAACTTCTCAATCCAACCATTTTTGTAGCCGTTTCTATACAGTAAGTATATTACTTACTTTGTTACATGAAAGGACTTCTCAGCTATGTTTCATGTTATACCGTGTAATTCTAACGTTTGAATTTCTGATCTAATTCTCTCTTCTTTAATTTTCTTACATTCTCTCTCTCTCTCCCTCCTTTCCATCTTTGCTAATTTGCCTTTTAATTTTCTTCCATTTCTGTATGCTTTCTGCCAGGGAATTTTCAGTGGTGAGTACACCCTCTTCCCAACTCAAGTCAAGTTACTTCCTCTTCTTTTTCAACAGACTCCTTAATGGTCATTATAGTGTCATGCCTCACCTGGATCTCTCTTGAGAAATCTCTATTATAGGTTACAAATCTCTATCCGCATTCAGAGGAAGGTTGGCCTTACCATGAAGTTATTTGAAATACCTGCTCTGAAATTCTGGAGAAGGACTGTAAGTACGGCGTATCATTAAGGAAGGAACAATTGTGTTTTTTTGCACGTTGAACTGTGTGTATGTGACTATGTACATAGGTGCGCATGTGCAAGGCTTTTCATCTCAATTAAAAGCATCTGGCAGTGTTAGAAATCTTGTTCTCTCTCTTAACTGCCAGAGAAGCAAGTCTGTGCTAGTGTTTTTGTTTTGTACTTGAACATACTGCAGATACCTTCTGGAGTTCACACATCATCCTACCTCTCTCCTGAGCACAGCACTGCTTTCGGAGGAGAGGAGTGGTAGTGGGAATGCTAACTTGAGTAAGTGCAAATCTTAATGCAATTAAAATTTAGGTATGCTCCACCTACCAATTAAGAATGATGAAAGTTATTGCAAAGATAACTCCAACACAAACTATAACTCCGGTTATCAGGACAAACACCAATACGATATCTGTACTTGGCTTCCTCAAACGCCTTGTTTCCAGCTCTAAAGAAAAAGAAAATTCTCATTGCTATGACGCCTGTTATGAAAATGTGAAAATAAATGGCATGAAAATTAAACTAGATGAAAATGAGAAAAGAGGGTCTTAATTTTCCACGCATTTTAAGGGCTAGACAGTATTTTATAAAAAGTAAAAAATACTCAAAGAAAGGATTTTGTACCACTGCACTATCATAGATTGCTTTAAATTGACAGAACAGTTCTAAATGTTGTATAACAAAGACATTCAATTAAAATTGTGCAGTTTCTATGATACAACAAGACATATAAAGGAATATCTTTTAATAGTAAGATCAATAACAAGACAGAGCTTTACCACACTCTCAGGCAAAACTGACCTTCAAATAGTTGGAAAAAAGCTGCATCACTCTGATAAGATTAAGAGTATAACAGCAGAAATAATTTAAAAGAACATGTGGGAAACTAGAAAAATAAATAGATACAATTGCTTGCAGTAAGATTTCCATTAAAAACTGATTTAAAGTGCAATAGCCTTTTGAAGTGTTATAAAAAATTTTGACAAGTGTGAGGTTCAGGTGTGCTAAGTAAATAAATAGTTCAAAACAATACACAATATTTGAAGTAAAGTTGAAGTCATAGTCATGACTATTGGAGTTATTCTTTATATAACTCAGAGAATGATTCTAACAGAGAAAAAACTAAAGTAAGAAAAGCTGTGGTGTACTCCCAAGTTCATGATTTAGTACAGAACTAAACAACAAAAAGGAAATTTTCACGTGTCATTATCTATTATTTTAAAAGTATACTTTGCTGGGTATCTGTATCTGAACATCTCTATTTATAGCATTCTTGAAATGTTATTTTAAGATAGTGGTACACAATGACAGCTTAGAAATACACATTTGTCACATGACTGATTTACTAGATGACATTCAAAAAATTCTAAAAGAAATACTCCTCTGTCTTCTAACCAGATTTAACTACATTTTAATGATTCTATTTAAACATCTCAAAGATCATGCCTGAAACTCAAAATGAGAAATTATAGTAGTATACTATACCGGTACTGGTCTAGCATGCTGGACCAATGTAATCGGGTCCAGACTGGATATAAAATCTTTATTTTTGCTTTCTACTCTTATGTCTGAAGAGAACTTGTCTGAGTGTGTTCATTCAGATTTGTTTGTTCACATTTAAAATATGAATTTAGTTCAGGTATACAGAAGCTATTCCGAATCAAATAAACATTGTGGGGGCTCACTAAGTGACCCACTAGGTTTAAAACCAGGTCATGTCTCTCTGTTAAAAGTCCTTTTTTTCCTGATTAGCAACGAGTTACAGATCACAGCTTCCTCTGCCTGTTGTAATGATTAAGGTTAAAACATTCTACAATGATTCATTTTCAGAAGTCACTACAACCCATTTTGAACAATTATCTTCCCCATCTTTTTACATGTATACATGAGGTAGACTGTTAATTAGACATATGAATATGAATAGAACAAATGTGTAAGGAAGAGAATGGTGTATCATTAGGTTTTATGAATTTAGTGTGTATGTATAGGTTTGCTGGGAAAGCACATGAGAAGTAGTTATACCTTCCAGGTAAACCCGACAGGAAACACCATTAGATGAGGTTATCCTACTCTATTGCAAGGCTACATTAAGTGTAATCTTGCAAATCCAAAGATACAAACTTTCCGCTACCACTTTTAATTGCTTGATAAATTAGAGCGGATGCTTCTTTCTCTGACCATTAAGCCACTGGGGACTCCTGTCTCTCTTGTCTGATTGTTTCTTGGGCAACATCTTTCCCCTCATCCCCCAAGGTCATCCACATACTCCATTACATGACTCAAGTTGATATCCCTGCTTGCTCCAGGTTACGGCTCAACTCTTTGCAACTATAGATTGCCCGGCTTGCCTGGAATAAGTTTAGTCTTCGGACCAATACTAGTTCACTACCCTTAATTAATTAATTAAGCCGAGGTGGCGCAGCAGTTAGAGTGCAGTACTGCAGGCCACTTTAGCTGACTGTGTTCAGCAGGTCAGCGGTTCAAATCTCACCGGCTCAAGGTTGACTCAGCCTTCCATCCTTCCAGGGTAGGTAAAATGAGGACCCAGATTGTTGGGGGCAATGTAAATATATATATACATTGCTTACTGGTGTACACCGCTTAGAGAGTGCTTGCACTTAAAGTAGTATATAAGTCTCATAAATAAATAAATAAATTTTAATAAAGATCAGCTCACTTGCTGTGTCTTCCTGTTGTTGGTGAGTAATGAGAACTGGAGACTCAAATACTAACCAATCTACACTCTAAGCTTCTCTTTCTTACAGCTTCTAATCTTCCAATAAGGCACAGATTAACTATATCTTCCACTCTCATTTGACTTTTCATAGTGATGCCTAACCCTGCTGAAAAACTGGAGTTCAGCAACTGGAGTTCAGCAACACGTTTCCTTCCCTTTCAATGATTTTTTAATGCAATCTTTATGCCATAATATTTGGCTTTATCTCTAAATCTCTCCACTATTGCTGTTTTATTTTTAGCCTCCGCCCGAGTCCCCCTCTCACTTTTTCCATTGCTCTTTTTCAAACAATCTTTTTTGTATTTCTATCTTCTCCTTAACATCCAATACCTTTCTGTTTGCACTGCAGTGCTTCTTCAGGGTTAATATCATTTGAATTCACACACACCCCAACTTAGGTGTTTCTGTCCTTGTCTCTCAGTTATGTTTCTGTCAGGTTTCCCCGTTTGTTGCTTGCTCTTCAGCCAACAGTAGCCATATTCCTGAAGATTTGTCACCATATAACCCTGAAGCAAAACTATTGTACAGTATTCTTTTCTATGTAAGTCTAATATCAAACAAAGAATAACAATTGCAGCTCTCAAACTACCTAGATTCTTTGCCAGTTAAAGTCTAATTTTTTTAATCTTAATTTCGACTGAATATATCTTGGGATAGTCACGGATGATGGAATATCGTTATTTTACATGTATTGCAAATACATGAAGGACCACATTATTTTAAATTAAACAGAAACTCTGCAAGTCACTATATTCCTATTATCTCATTTGCATATTTAAAACACTTCATGTTTTGGCCAGTAGTACATCTATTAAAGATGCCCCAAACACACTAATAAAAAAAATGTTGGCAACATAAGATGCTGCAAGCCTAGCATGTTTATATAATTAGGAGCACTCTCACTGAATGCATCAAAATGTATTTGAATTACAAAAATGTCCACCTGGCTGGAAATTCTGGCAGTTGCATTCTAAATTTACAGGGAGGACATTAGGTTAGGAGGTTTTTCATGTAAAACATGAGAATGAAAGCTCGGATTCAACTGGATAAATCATATTTTATTATTAGTTGTTGTGTGAATGGCTTTTAAAATGTAAACTATAACTGCAAAAGCTTACTTGGATTACAACTATAGCAAACAGCTAAAAGGGATTTACCAGCTCTTTCTTTCCAGACTGGATTCACAGTCCTCTCCCGAAACATGATGAGGGAAGCCTGCACTGGCTCAAACAACAGGTATAGTCCTTTTCATTCAGCAGGAATCAATGAGTTCAACCTACATATTACTCCCTTAAGAATGTTAATGCAACTGGTAATTGCCTAATAGATGTTTTCTCTTTAATCATAACAATTGTATCTATTAGACTATGGTCATTCACTCTCTAGACTCATAGCCACAATGCTTGTTAGAGCCACACAATTCTCTGGTGGCACAGTAGGACAGTGTAATCATCTGGTTTCAAATAGTCTGGTAGCTATTTAGGAACCAGTAAGAAGCCAGAATCTCTCCCTTGAGATAATCATCAGTGCCATTGACTTGACAGTAAACATTTCTAACAGAAGCAAAATACAACTAGAAAATTTGATTCCCGTTTTTTTGCTTTAAAAAGTATTCAGAGATTGCAACATACACATAAACAGATATTAATAATCGCAAGTTGGATTCTACACTGTAGGAAAAGTATTCATTATAGTCATTTTGTTTTAAATAATACAGGATCCTTCTGATTCAAAGGTTTTCAAACAATTTGGCAGGTAGAGTAGAATCAAGAAACCAACTGAATGTTCTTTTTAGCAGCAAACATGTTTGTAAGACATTTAAGCCATTTGACTTTATTCATAAAACTAATGGTACTTCCCCCATTATCTAGTATAAATACTAAATAAAATTTAAAATACATTTAGTTATTAGGAAGAGTTTCATCATCTACTCAAAAGTTTCATTTGCTTCATATAAGGTGGTTACAGAATGGGTACGTTTTAATGAATTTTTGCTATCACAGAGTGAATGTCATCGTGGCCATTCCAAACATCCCTTTGGGGCAAATGAATCACATATGATAAACTTTTGTAAGTGTAACCATAACTGGTATGACTCTATTCTAATTTCTTATGAGTGATATGGAAATCTATTGGATTAGTGGCTTTTATTTGTAAATGTGCATACAGACAAAAATATTTCTGGAACTAAATACATAAGTATAGTTTATATATATACTCATCAAATACGTAACATTCTCATCAAGCATTCTACAAGTGAACAAGCAAGTGGAAATAGTATTTGAGTTTATTCTGATACAGAAGAGCCTAGGAGACCAACTTTGGGGTTTCATACTGTAATGAATCAAGCTGAGGCTTGAAGGGATGGTGGTAAATTATCAAAGACTGGGGTAATAGGGAGAGACATACTACTAATTTGAAGATGTGGAAATAGTATCGGTCATATATAAAAGGAAAATATAAGGTAAAGTTCTCTTCAAGTTGTGCTCAACTTTATGATTCCATGGAGTGATCTATATAGATTTTTTTTAACAATATGGAGGTGCCTTCCTGGATGGTTTTTCTCAGTTTAGCCTATAGCCTATAAATCAGAGGTCCCCCAACCTTTTGGGCACCAGGGACCGGTTCTGCGGAGAGATGTTTTTCTGTGGACCGGAGGGGGCGTGGTTTTGTATGCTGCTTGCATCTTGCGGATGGGGCTCTGCTTGTTT